TGGAATATCTACATAGGCGTACAGAGGCCCATTATCAGTAACCATCAGTCCTGTGTTCCAATGGCACGTTGTGTTTGCTATTCCAAGTTTATCGTTTTAAAAGGCTAATTGATCATTATAAAACCCTTTTGCAATTATGTTAGCACAGCTGAAAACTGTTGTGCTGATTAAAGAAGCAATAAAACTGGCCTTGAGACTAGTTGAGTATGTGGAGCATCATCAATTGTGGGTTCGATTACAGGCTCAAAATGGCTAGAAATAAATAACTTTCTTCTGAAACTCGTCAGTCTATTCTTGTTCTGAGAAATGAAGGCTATTCCATGCGAGAAATTGCCAAGAAACTGAAGATCTCGTACAATGCTGTGTACTACTCCCTTCACAGAACAGCGCAAACTGGCTCTAACCAGAATAGAAAGAGGAGTGGGAGGCCCCGGTGCACAACTGAGCAAGAGGACAAATACATTAGAGTGTCTAGTTTGAGAAACAGACGCCTCACAGGTCCTCAACTGGCAGCTTCATTAAATAGTACCCGCAAAACACCAGTCTCAACGTCAACAGTGAAGAGGCGAGTCCGGGATGCTGACCTTCGTGGCAGAGTTGCAAAGAAAAAGCCATATCTCAGACTGGCCAATAAAAATAAAAGATTAAGATGGGCAAAAGAACACAGACACTGGATAGAGGAAGATTGGAAAAAAGTGTTATGGACAGACTAATCGAAGTTTGAGGTATTCGGATCACAAAGAAGAACATTTGTGAGACATAGACCAAATGAAAAGATGCTGGAGGAGTGCTTGATGCCATCTGTCAAGCATGGTGGAGGCAATGTGATGGTCTGGGGGTGCTTTGGTGGTGGTAAAGTGGGAGATTTGTACAGGGTAAAAGGGATCTTGAAGAAGGAAGGATATCACTCCATTTTGCAACGCCATGCCATACCCTGTGGACGGCGCTTGATTGGAGCCAATTTCCTCCTACAACAGGACAATGACCCAAAGCACAGCTCCAAACTATGCAAGAACTATTTAGGGAAGAAGCAGTCAGCTGGTATTCTGTCTATAATGGAGTGGCCAGCACAGTCATCGGATCTCAACCCTATTGAGCTGTTGTGGCAGCAGTTCAAGCCAATCCAACTTGTGGGAAATGCTTCAGGAAGCATGGGGTGAAATCTCTTCAGATTACCTCAACAAATTGACAACTAGAATGCCAAAGGTCTACAAGGCTGTAATTGCTGCAAATGGAGGATTCTTTGACGAAAGCAAAGTTTGAAGGACAAAATTATTTCAACTAAAAATCATTATTTCTAACCTTGTCAATGACTACTTTTCCTATGCATTTTGCTATATTTCCTATTCAAACTCATGTCATGTATGTTTTCATGGAAAACAAGGACATTTCTAAGTGACCCCAAACTTTTGAACAGTAGTGTGTGTATGTATATACACTGCTCAAAAAAATAAAGGGAACACTTAAACAACACAAGGTAACTCCAAGTCAATCACACTTCTGTGAAATCAAACTGTCCACTTAGGAAGCAACACTGATTGACAATAAATGTCACATGCTGTTGTGCAAATGGAATAGACAACAGGTGGAAATTATAGGCAATTAGCAAGACACCCCCCAAAAAATAAGTGGTTCTGCAGGTGGTGACCACAGACCACTTCTCAGTTCCTATGCTTCCTGGCTGATGTTTTGGTCACTTTTGAATGCTGGCGGTGCTTTCACTCTAGTGGTAGCATGAGACGGAGTCTACAACCCACACAAGTGGCTGAGGTAGTGCAGCTCATCCAGGATGGCACATCAATGCGAGCTGTGGCAAGAAGGTTTGCTGTGTCTGTCAGCATAGTGTCCAGAGCATGGAGGCGCTACCAGGAGACAGGCCAGTACATCAGGAGACGTGGAGGAGGCCGTAGGAGGGCAACAACCCAGCAGCAGGACCGCTACCTCCGCCTTTGTGCAAGGAGGAGCATGAGGAGCACTGCCAGAGCCCTGCAAAATGACCTCCAGCAGGCCACAAATGTGCATGTGTCTGCTCAAACGGTCAGAAACAGACTCCATGAGGGTGGTATGAGGGCCCGACGTCCACAGGTGGGGGTTGTGCTTACAGCCCAACACCGTGCAGGACGTTTGGCATTTGCCAGAGAACACCAAGATTGGCAAATTCGCCACTGGCGCCCTGTGCTCTTCACAGATGAAAGCAGGTTCACACTGAGCACGTGACAGACGTGACAGAGTCTGGAGACGCCGTGGAGAACGTTCTGCTGCCTGCAACATCCTCCAGCATGGCTGGTTTGGCGGTTGGTCAGTCATGGTGTGGGGTGGCATTTCTTTGGGGGGCCACACAGCCCTCCATGTGCTCGCCAGAGGTAGCCTGACTGCCATTAGGTACCGAGATGAGATCCTCAGACCCCTTGTGAGACCATATGCTGGTGTGGTTGGCCCTGGGTTCCTCCTAATGCAAGACAATGCTAGACCTCATGTGGCTGGAGTGTGTCAGCAGTTCCTGCAAAAGGAAGGCATTGATGCTATGGACTGGCCCGCCCGTTCCCCAGACCTGAATCCAATTGAGCACATCTGGGACATCATGTCTCGCTCCATCCACCAACGCCACGTTGCACCACAGACTGTCCAGGAGTTGGCGGATGCTTTAGTCCAGGTCTGGGAGGAGATCCCTCAGGAGACCATCCGCCACCTCATCAGGAGCATGCCCAGGCGTTGTAGGGAGGTCATACAGGCACGTGGAGGCCACACACACTACTGAGCCTCATTTTGACTTGTTTTAAGGACATTACATCAAAGTTGGATCAGCCTGTAGTGTGGTTTTCCACTTTAATTTTGAGGGTGACTCCAAATCCAGACCTCCATGGGTTGATACATTTGATTTCCATTGATAATTTTTGTGTGATTTTGTTGTCAGCACATCCAACTATGTAAAGAAGAAAGTATTTAATAAGATTATTTCATTCATTCAGATCTAGGATGTGTTGTTTAAGTGTTCCCTTTATTTTTTTGAGCAGTATATATATATATATATATATATGATTACATATCATTGGGAGAAAAAAAAAGACATCCCACTGGTCACATACTGGTTGAATTTTATTTAAATATACCTCTTTATTTAGGTTGATGGCATGACATTGACACAATGACGTTGATTCAAACATACAATTTTAGTATCAACATTTAAACAAGGTCAAATTAAATCAAATTTCAATCAAATATGAAATTCAACTATTTCAACCACGCCAATATACTGTATATTGAATATAGGATGTGGAATTTTCAACGCAATTTCAACATATACATAGTTTTGATGATTATGTTGAAATTTGATTGATGTAATAACCTGTTAGTCAGGTTAAGTCATTGTATTTAAGTTGAAATTTTACCCTAATTTCAATGTTTACAACACTGGTTGAAATGAGATGAAAACAGTACTGGTTGATTACTTGTTTTCCACAGATTCCACGGTCACAATAGGTTGACAAATAACGTTGAACCAACGTTGATTCAACCATTGTGTGCCCAGTGGGATGGCTTAAGTTATTTAAAATTCAGAGAAGCCTGACTTTAAAAAAATCAAGATTGTCATATACCCAGAATCTCATAGTATATACACATTGAATAAAACAACAATTGGTGATGACTATACAGAAGGCCAGTATTATAGGATCCAGTACTTTGTAAAGAGAATAAAATCTGATGGAGAAATGAAATTCCATTTTTAATTCGGCAAACATGTCATGTCAGTCACATCAATGGATACTGGATAGATGATATTACTGAAAATGCAAATAATCTGTGCATTTCGATCACCATGACCAGACGAGACAACTTCATCTGAGCTAGGCGAATTCACGCGTCAACGTCATTATCATTAACAAATCCAAGTAAATGCCAATAGAAAACAGCTCAAACGAAAATGCAGCAAATGTACTGTCATTCCAGGTCGAGTGTTTGACGTGACTGAGTTGAAGTTGGCTAGCTAGTGACACGAACGTTATACAGCCTGCATAGCAACCATTTTGTTTAGTAGAACGGACTATGCAAAAATCATTAACGACTGGGTCGCATCTGTAGCAACATGACCAAAATAACTAACCACCAGATTTTTGTCCGCACTGTATCTTCTGGTGGAAGAATGACATTTTATGAATTCACTTATCAAAATAAAGTTAATGAAAATATGTATTTCACTGTTATTTTAATATGTTGGTAACAGATTTATAAAAGCAATAAGGCACACAAGGCAGTGCTGTGTCATGAATACAGTCACAGGCAAATGGGTTGACTCTGCTGTAGCGTGGGGCCGAACAACGCCATTTACCTGTGACTGTATTCATGATACAGCACTGCCTCTTGTGCCTTATCACTAACTAAACCCTCAGTATTCATTAAAATAATGTGCTTGTTTCAAACATCAATGGATCCCTAAAGTGCACACCTGTTAAGATAAGCAGAGCCTAAATTAACATACTTACTATACCCCTTTCACACTAGTGAGCTGAGCCCAGCAGTACTGCACTGACCTGGTTAATAATCCACCCTAGTTGCTGGAACCATGCTGGGAAGGACAATGTTAATGGAAAATACATGAGCCAGCACAGTATGGATGGGGTTGGCACAACAGTGTCAAAAAGGGTACTCATGTAAACTGGAATGTCTGCATGTGACATCTTTATTCATTTTCCTGTCTTGTGCATCAACTCAAACCATGGCACACTGCCTGAGATCGCATCAGGGAGGAAGAGCATGTTTTGATGTCACTTCCTGTGTCTCCTTGTCAGGTTACCATGGTTACATGGCTGTTACTCCTTGATGTGGTCTGAGGCAAAGGCTTGGCTGGCCACTACAGCCCACACCTGAATTAAAATCTAATCTACATTTTAAAAATCTAATCTAACTCAATGTTCAGCCATTCCCAACAGATAAGAATGATATTAAGATTCTTCCCGGTCGCAAGTAAAGGAGAGTTCTGTATACAAACAGAAAAGTTGTCAGGCTAATGTATTTCAGTGCAGACAGTGGGTTGTTTGGGTTGGGGGGAGGGGTGGGGGCTTTCTCAGTTGGGGGCTTTTTACAACTGTCTCGGCTTTCCAATTTTCAGAAGTCCAGTTCTTGTCCCGCTAGTTCAGTTCTTGGTTTTAGGCAGTCGATATCAGATGAGTCAGTCCCATGTTTAGAGTGCTACTTCAGGACATCACTCGAGTACCTTCCCCATAGGGCAGGGGTCACCTGGATTGGGTATTTTTCTCTTGAAGGTCAGTGGGTCATAGTGCACAGGGAGACAAAGATAAGCAACATGTAGTGTGCCGTGGCATCTGGACTAGATTTCAGATGCCTAGCAGCAGTGTCCCTGGTCTCTGCCCTTGCCTCACAGTCTGCCCTTGCGGCTGGCGCAGCCGTCACAGACGCGGACAGGGTGGTCCCAGCCACGGGAGGGCACGGGGCGGCTCTTGGAGGAGCAACTGCTGCAGACACCCTGGCCACACGCCCGGCAGTGGTGCTTGGACATACTGGGGGTGAAGGCTTTGCTGCACTGGTGGCACTGCACGATCTGGGGGTCAGGGATCCAGTAGTCAGGCCGGGCCACTCCCTTCACAAAGCCTGGAACATGGAGGAGAGAGAAATAAATAGCTTTGTTTATACAGTAGTTGCCTTTGGCAGTCAGAGCCGAATATAATATCATATTAAATGCTGTATCTTGTGGATTTCTGTCTGCATATACTGTAAAATGTCAATGGTTCCTGGTGTGAAGTTTTTTCCAAGTGTTTCTGTGATGTGTTTCTCAAACACGACGCTCCAACATGACACAAGCTGTACTCACACAGAGGGTAGTCCACTGCAGTGGTGACCATGTCTAGAGTAGATTGGGCCACCTCTGTCACCCTGCGGGCCATCAGCCCCCGCGGCTCCACCACAGCCACTACAGGACACAGAGAGGGACCAACAGAGCCATCAGGATCACTGGACCACGTTCTTTTAACCTCTATTTAACCAGGAAGTCCCTTGAGATGAGTCGTCTCTTTCTCGAGGGAGACATGAATGAACACTTACTATTCACATCAAACACCTCGTTGCCTCCCAAATGGCACCCTATCCCCTTTGTTAGTGTACTACTTTTGGCCAGAGCCCAATGGGTCCAAGTGAGTATGTAAAGTAAGTTGGTAAGTCAAATGTATTATTACAAAAAAAATGTTGCCTAAAATCTGATCCTGAATCAGACTAAGTAGGAGGTAACATCAGCTTTTACATTAACATCCATGACCCAACACTGATCCTAAAACAGACTTTGGAGAGGTAACATTAGCTTTTACATTAACATCCATGACCCAACACTGATCCTAAATCAGACTTTGGTGGAGGTAACATTAGCTGACCCTGGTTGGTGGTGTCAGTCCCTCCCTGGCGGTGGCAGGCGTCACAGACCCGGACGGGAGTGCTGCCCCAGCCCCTCTCGGGCACGGGCATCCTGCGGGTGGAGCAGACCTGGCAGAAGCCCTCACCACACGAACGACAGTGGTGCTTCCTCTCCGCCTCCTCAAAGGGCTTCTTACAGCAGTGACACGCCTGGGGGACAGGGACACAGCACAATAATGGATTATAATGTCAAGAGTCAGTAGTCAAAACTATACTATACACTCACAACCATATCATACCACACAAACAACTCTGTTCAGTGCCACATTTGAGAATTACAACAGCCAATTGTTGGTTTTACTCACTATAATGATGATATATTGGGTTTAGAACTAATGCTGCATCCTTTCGGTATTTGGGCACTGGGTCTATCGCCTCAATAAAAACAGCTATTCTTAGGCTGTGCTATCTGTTCATAAAGCCTGTGTGTGTGTTGCTGGTCTAGGTGCCATGTTGCTGGTCGATGATGATGCTAGACTCTCTGATGCTGTGAGAGTGATGACTCACGGTGATGTCCGTGTTGGGTCTCCAGTAGGGTGGGGCCACCTGGTCAGTGAGCCAGGAGGTGACAGCCTTGGTGGGGCCCGTGCTGTACTCCGACACAGACTGGATCACAAAGTTCATCCCATCCAGCACCCTCTGGGCCGCATTCTGGTGGTCTGTCAGGAAGGCCTCAGACTGGACACACAGAGACAGAGAGAGCAACGGTCAGAGGAGAGGGAGGCCATCTTTGAATGTATTTGATATCTATGTTGGCAGTGTGTATTCATCCATTCATAATTGATGATGACCATGACACATTGAAGTACAGTGTGCAGTGTTGACGTTGCCAGTGCAAGTAACATTATCTTTATTAACCTTTGATAGCTGACATACTTTGAAAGTTAAATATATGCCAGAGACTTTGTATATATATTCCAACCTGTTCTGTCGCAAATGCCTCTAAAATATTCTCACTGATACTTCAATTGAGCTTGAGTGACTGTTTGTATGTTGTGCCTGTCAGTACAGTGAGGGTGTGTAGGACTGAGAGGCTCAGCTCACCCCCTCCCAGACGTGTTTGACCTCGGGCCGCACCACGCCGCTCTCTGGGTCCTGGTTGCCCAGCCAGTACTGCCGGCTGCGGTAGATGATGCCACAGCTGCCACACTCCAGGACATACCTGGCAGGACAGGGGCACCATCGAGAGGGTGGTGGGGGAAAGGATGAGATGGGGAGGAAATATATAGTGCATTAGCTTAGATGGCAGAGTGGATTCTATGTTTGGATGTGTGTATCTGTGTATGAGTGGTACTTTATTGAATGGATTCGAAGGGCCTGGTTGAAAGGGACATCTTTATACCATCAAAAAGTAAATGTGTGTGTTGTGTGTGTGTCTCAGTGTCTGCAAAGAGTCCAGATTACATCAGCAACTCACCCAGACCAGGCGTACTTTGCCAGCCCAAACCAGGGGTTGTCTGTGGAGGCTGAGGTTTTAGGAATGACAATAACCTCCCTGCCCCCCTCATAACACCTCTGTGTGGGTAGGACCAGATCAGGGAGAGAGTACACAAAATATGATTAAGGCTAGCTTCATACCCTTGGTTCATGCATTTGCTTGTACTTCAAATTGTTCAACACCATCTCCACAGGATTTAAATCCTATATCGTATATAGAAGAATACTTTATTGTCCATTTTCTTTTCAGATCACATTAATAAGTCATTATTGCTTTCAACTTTCTCTCTTATGTCCCATCACAGACATAGACCATATGTGAAATGGCTTACCTTGCAGATGAGGACCTTGTTGTTGTACTGGTGAGCGTACTGACACAGTCCGTCTGCCAGGTGAGGGACCCTGTCTCTTAGATGGTTCATCCCGTTCTTACAGCGGATACTGAGGGGAAGAAAACAAGGAAAACTCCTATAAAAATCAGAAGGATGGCTGAATCCATCCATCACATACCTAACATCCAAGTTACTTGTGTAAAATGTGAAGGTGTACAGTAACTATTGGGCTGACTATCTCTGATTGATTGATTACCTGCCATTTTGGTGGATGGCCAAAAGGCATTGCTCCTTTTCTCCTAGCGGCTTAAGATGTTAGACGTGCACCATAACACATTTATAACGGGGACAAACAAGGCTTTATACTCAAGCAGTGAGAGCCTGTTAAACCAATGCCTATTTCTGGATATGAACACCAATGTGTTAAGGGAAAATATTCTGTTTCTAATCTAGCTCAAATTTCCCAAGTCAAAGAAGACACTGTACTGTACAGAATGAAAACCCATAGAGAGGTATGATTTACATAGGACAAACAGACTTTTATGCTTCCTTTGCGGCAACCCATCTGGGAGGGACACATATCCTAGCACTACCTGGTCACGTGCAGCAGGTGAATACACCATTCACTAGTGCACACTGTAGCAAAACATTTTGCAATGGAAAATGGTTTGCAACGAAAACGAGAGCTTCTTTTGGACAAATTCAGGTTAATCCCTCCCCATTTTGTTTTGATTCATGTGATAGAGTTACTTTGAGCAGACGCATGCAGCAGATGCAGGTAAGTCACTTACTTGCAGCTGAGGCAGACTGAAGAGCAGGTGAAGTATTCGTCAGGGAAGAAGGAGTAGAGGGGGATTTTGTCATCTAAGATCTCCCCACAGAACCTGTCACTAAGGGCCTGGAGAGGAGGGGAGAAGGAGAGAGATGAGGAGACCAAGGGGTGGAAGGGGAGGAGCCAAGCAGGGTCATGAGGTCAAAACAAACAAACATTCATTGGTTTTGGAAAGGCCTATTTACCCAGACAAGCACCCAATTCCCATTAACATTCGCTAGTACCGGCATTACCCGTCTATCAAACAAATGAATTATGCAACAATGCAACGAGATCGCAACACACAAAGACCTGCAGAGCGCTAAAGACGATGGCCGGTTGGCGGGGCGATCGTGTGGCAGTGTTCCTGACTTGCTGGCGTACAGCCTCCAGGAGCAGAGAGTAGTTGGTCGGAGGAGTGATAGTCTGTGTGCCCACGTACTGCACTGAGCTGAAGGCCTCTGTACCCAGGCCCAGGTCATGGAAGCGCCTCTGGAGCTGAGTGTCTGCATAGCCAGGGACATCTGTTCGCTCTGTGGGGACAAAGTAGGACAACATCATGGGTTGAGTTCCCACAAACACCTGACTGTTGTGTAAATAGTGTAGCATGTGTGGGTGTGACTGTAGTAGTTGGTAAACCTGTATCTGTGGGTGTGTCTAAGCCAGTGTGATGGTTGGATGTGATTCTGACCTTACATAATATGTTAGTGTGTTGTTGTTCAATTCAATAAAAACAATTTTTTTATTGATCCCCAAGGTGCAATTACTTTGGGCAAATGAGTCTGCAACAACAACAACAACAACATGACAGCATTCCCCAACGTGTTGTCTAACACAGCTCATAAGCAAATTGTTGTGTAATGCATGCATAGAAATACAGTTGAAGTCGGAAGTTAGGTTGGAGTCATTAAAACTCGTTTTTTTACCACTCCACAAATGTCTTGTTAACAAACTATAGTTTTGGCAAGCCGGTTAGGACATCTACTTTGTGCATGACACAAGTAATTTTTCCAACAATTGTTTACAGACAGATTATTTCACTGTATCACAATTCCAGTGGGTCAGAAGTTTACATACACTAAGTTGACTGTGCCTTTAAACAGCTTGGAAAATTCCAGAAAATGATGTCATGGCTTTAGAAGCTTCTGATAGGCTAATTGACATCATTTGAGTCAATTGGAGGTGTACCTGTGGATGTATTTCAAGGCCTACCTTCAAACTCAGTGCCTCTTTGATTGACAAAATGGGAAAATCAAAAGAAATCAGCCAAGACCTCAGAAAAAAAGATTGTAGACCTCCACAAGTCTGGTTCATCCTTGGGAGCAATTTCCAAACGCCTCTGGTCTGACGAAACAAAAATAGAACTGTTTGGCCATAATGACCATCGTTATGTTTGGAGGAAAAAGGGAATGTTTGCAAGCTGAAGAACACCATCCCAACCGTGAAGCATGGGGGTGGCAGCATCATGCTGTGGGGGTGCTTTGCTGCAGGAGGGACTGGTGCACTTCACAAAATAGATGGCATCATGAGGAAGGAAAATTATGTGGATATATTGAAGCAACATCTCAAGACATCAGTCAGGAAGTTAAAGCTTGGTCGAAAATGGGTCTTCCAAAAGTTGTGGCAAAATGGCTTAAGGACAACAAAGTCAAGGTATTGGAGCGGCCATCACGAAGCCCTGACCTTAATCCTATAGAAAATGTGTGGGCAGAACTGAAAATGCGTGTGCGAGCAAGGAGGCCTACAAACCTGACTCAGTTACACCAGCTCTGTCAGGAGGAATGGGCCAAAATTCACCCAACTTATTGTGGGAAGCTTGTGGAAGGCTACCCGAAACGTTTGACCCAAGTTAAACAATTTAAAGGCAATGCTACCAAATACTAATTGAGTGTATGTAAACTTCTGACCCACTGGGAATGTGTTGAAATAAACAAAGCTGAACTAAATCATTCTCTCTACTATTATTCTGAAATTTCACATTCTTAAAATAAAGTGGTGATCCTAACTGACGTAAGACAGGGAATTTTTACTAGGATGAAATGTCAGGAATTGTGAAAAACTGAGTTTAAATGTATTTGGCTAAGGTGTATGTAAACTTCCGACTTCAACTGTATATGATTGCATGTGGTGCATGTTAGTGACTGGGCCTCTCCTGTACATACCATGGCCCAGTAGCTGGGTGTGGGTGGTCTCCTGGAACACGATGACCGCCGGCCCCAGGGAGGAGAGGGGCACGTCCATGCCACAGCGGCTGGAGAGGGCGCGCAGCTCAGGGGTGAAGTGCTTCAGGTAGGCCCCTGAGGCGCTGCTTAGGAACTGGAACATGTCGTTGTGCAGCCTCTCGGCCCGCGTGCGGTACACCACCACGTCCGATACGGCCAGCACCTTCAGCAGCAGACGCATGCGCTGGTTCTGGTTGGCCGCAGCCCCCAGCAGGCCCTCTGTGTCCAGAGCCACCAGGCCCAGCCCGGGGTCAAAGGCGGCCCACACGCCCACTGTGCAGGAGCTGGGGGACTTGGAGGTGTAGAATACGATATCCCCGCCAAACAGGATATGGTTGAGGGTGTGGGACTTGCCGTCGCCCGTGTTGCCAAAGATGGAGAGGACCTTGACGCCCTGCATGTCCCCGCAGCCCAGCCTCTCCAGGAACTGAGCCTCATCATGGACCTGGGGTGATGTTGGAAAGGATGGGAGATCAAGTTATGTTATAGTTAGCTGTAGGATATTATGTTGTCAAATACATGTCATATTACTTTACATATAGGAGCAATTTTGGCTTACTTATGTGGTTGTTGTGTTGTGGATATAGTTTGTCTATCTTTATTTCACTTAATGTGTACACTAGAGGGCACTATATCGATTTGGGTCATGAGTCACATGTATAGGCACACAGGTGACCAGGAAGTATGGAATCACAGCAGTCTGGAGAGAATACATGCAGATGTAATTACCACATAAATAGGCCAAAATGGCTCCTACATTACCATTTGGCCTAACAATTATGTTATCGAAGGTAACTTTACACTGACTATGGTGAAAAGTAGTCACAAGGCTCAACCTTACCCTTATTCATGACTCAAATTGCATTTCATTACATTGAGCCATTGGACATCCCCTTTAGCCTTGTGAGGAAAATGTCCCGACGCTCCGATGATACACCTTACACGCGTTGCAGTTTTTTAAACATTTGTAATTGGAACTTAATTCATATAAGCGAGAAAGAATTGTTCTACTCCAAACGATACTTACTATATGCAGTTTACAGAGCTCTACAGTGCAACCATATTAAATAGCATATGCGACTAAATATTTTGCTGTGCGACCTGGAATTTGAATTTAGGTGCATCAGTGCGCCTAGAAAAAACATCACCCAGATGATAATTGTTGCAATGATTACTTCACTGTACCGCAGCCCAGGTGCCATGACCGTCATGCTTGCACCACTACTACAAAGAAAATGGCTTGTTACTTAAAATAGTTATTTGACCTCCTACATTTCTTTGTGTGCTCCTAATTTTTCAACTTAGGCGCACACGTGCTCCCTGTAAAAAAAGGTCAGCGTAAAGCCCTGGTTTAGGAACGTTTATTGTATTTTTTGTGACCCACTTTTATTTTGTTTTATTTTTATGGGGGAGTTACAGGTACAAAAAATTATCAAAGAAATGCATATAAAGATAACCCATTCCTCAGTCTCCATCCACCTGCCCGCATCTTCCCTCCCCAACCAGAAACCATGCCTCCCACACCAGCAGTGCTGCCTGCCAGCAGTAATATTCTATGATTTATTGAGAGATTCAATGGGCTATCATCATTAAGTAACATAACAGATGCAAAGCATTGAATATTTAAAATCATGTACTTCTCAATGAATTTTTAAAACTTTGCATCATTAGCATATAACTGCAGGGCACTCCCACATCATATGAAGGAATGTGCTTACCTGATGTAGGCGACACAGTGAACAGTTGGGGCCAATTTCAATGTTAAACATTTCCTTGGTGTTAAATACAGTCTGTGAACAAACTTTAAATGTATAAGTTGATGGTTCGGTTTACGGGATGCCAAGGTCATATTTTTCCATATTCTCTTCCAGTTAAAGGATTGTTCAGATTCAATTAGATCTGTGGACCATACTTTTTTAATGGCTAGCTCAGAATATGAGCTTTCCAAAATATGTTTCTATATTATAGAGATCAGTCCATTCGGGAGCCCAGATAATTTATTTATTTATTTATTTAAATCCCATCATTGGATGGTTCGGTAGTTGGATTTCCCAAGGGACTCCATAGGCCAGCATAGCTGACCTTAGTTGTAAATATAGAAAAAATGAGTTGCCTGGTAATGTGTATGTAAACTCAGCAAAAAAAGAAAAGTCCCTTTTTCAGGACCCTGTCTTTCAAAGATAATTTGTAAAAATCCAAATAACTTCACAGATCTTCATTGTAAAGGGTTTAAACACTGTTTCCCATGCTTGTTCAACGAACCATAAACAATTAATGAACATGCACCTGTGGAACGGTCATTAAGACACTAACAGCTTACAGACGGTAGGCAATTAAGGTCACAGTTATGGAAACTTAGGACACTAAAGAGGCCTTTCTACTGACTCTGAAAAACACCAAAAGAAAGATGCCCAGGGTCCCTGCTCATCTGTGTGAATGTGCAAGGAGGCATGAGGACTGCAGATGTGGCAAGGGCAATAAATTGCAATGTCCGTACAGTGAGACGCCTAAGACAGCGCTACAGGGAGACAGGACGGACAGCTGATCGTCCTCGCAGTGGCAGACCACGTGTAACACCTGCACAGGATCGGTACATCCGTACATCACACCTGCGGGACAGGTACAGGATGGCAACAACAACTGCCCGAGTTACACCAGGAACGCACAATCTCTCCATCAGTGCTCAGACTGTCCGCAATAGGCTGAGAGAGGCTGGACTGAGGGCTTGTAGGCCTGTTGTAAGGCAGGAACTCACCAGACATCACCGGCAACAACATCGCCTATGGGCACAAATCCACCATCACTGGACCAGACAGGACTGGCAAAAAGTGCTCTTCACTGACGAGTCGCGGTTTAGTCTCACCAGGGGTGATGGTTAGATTTGCGTTTATCGTCGAAGGAATGAGCGTTACACCGAGGCCTGTACTCTGGAGCGGGATCGATTTGGAGGTGGAGGGTCTGTCATGGTCTGGGGCGGTGTGTCACAGCATCATCAGACTGAGCTTGTTGTCATTGCAGGCAATCTCAATGCTGTGCGTTACAGGGAAGACATCCTCCTCCCTCATGTGGTACCCTTCCTGCAGGCTCATCCTGACATGACCCTCCAGCATGACAATGCCACCAGCCATACTGCTCGTTCTGTGCTTGATTTCCTGCAAGACAGGAATGTCAGTGTTCTGCCATGGCCAGCGAAGAGCCCGGATCTCAATCCCATTGAGCACGTCTGGGACCTGTTGAATCGGAGGGCTAGGGCCATTCCCCCCAGAAATGTCCAGGAACTTTCAGGTGCCTTGGTGGAAGAGTGGGGTATCTTTCAAATTTTGGAATGTTCTCAAACTCTTGCTGTCCATGATATCGGTAAGGGTATAAGGATTCCACATTTGGACCATTGGGGGGGATGCAAAAGGCCGCCCTCCAGATAAGAAGGCATTATTGTGAAATATTGGAGTATGGGCATGCCATTTTGATTCCCAGTTACATTGCTTTTCAATTTTGCGCCAAATACAAATTGTGTGAGCAATAATAAGCCCAAAGTGTAGTTTACATTATTTAAGAGATACTGTATATCAGTGAAGACCACCTCTTCCAGGGCAATTGGAGACTCCATATTTATCTCTATACTCGGCCAGGGGGGCAGAAGAATCATGTCTAAACCAATTTAGTGTGGGGCGGAAATACAGTTTAAAGATTGGTACGGGTAGTCCTCCTAAGTCTTTCCCTCTTTGTCAAAAAAAATTATTTGATCCTGAATCGTTTACCTTGCTATATACATTTTTAAACCGCACTATAAATTTTATCCCAATAGACAGAACGGGGAACAATGGGAAGCATTGAACTACAGAAATTCAGCAGTGGCAATATATTCATTTTGAAAATAGATATTCTGCCGGTTAAAGCAACTATGTTATTATTTCATCTACTGAGGTCGGATTGAATTGATTTGAGCATTCTGTTAAAGTTTCTGGCAATGGTTTTATCTAAGGAAGGAAATATATCTACTCCCAAATACTTAAGATGATTGGTAGAGATGGAGTCCTGAGATGGTAGAGATGAGGTCTTGAGAGGCAGTAGGGCCGATTTGGTTAGATACATGTTGTAGCTTGAGATTAAGCTGAATTTATCTAGGATCTTCAATGCGTTTGGGAGCAATTGTGATACATTGTGTAGATATAGTAAAATATTGTCTGCGTATAATCAGATGAAGTGATCAGTAGATTTTAGAGAAATGTGTGTTATTTCCTTCGATTGACGAATTGCCTGGGCTTCCATGGATAATAAGAATAGCAAAGGCGAATTTGGATTGCCTTGTCTGCTGCTTCTAGTGATTCTGAGCAGAGCAGAGCAGATATTGCCTGTTATAACTATGGCTGAGGGATTGGCATATAGTATTTTAATCATATTAATGAAATTGGAGCCAATTCCCATATGTTCCAAGACAGACCAGAGATATTACCATTATAGTCTATCATGTTGTTTCTGATGAAGCATCTAAGATATGTAATAGTCGACAACAGGTTATCTGAGGATAAACACTTTTTAACAAACCCGCTTTGGTCAGTGTGTTATCATGTGAAGAGACAGCCTTGAAAATGTTCATCTTGTCTTAGTGTCATAAATAATCCTTGGTTCCTGCCTGTGCTTGTAAAGATATGAGGGGGGGGGGGGGGGGGGGGGGGGGCGACATGACCCCCTCCATAGAACCATCTGGAAGAGCACCCTGAATATGTTCTAGAAGTTAAGATAGGAGACGGTGTCAGACACATGCAGGAACCAACCCTATGAACCATGCCTATGTAACTTGTCTGTGTAAGCAGTATATAAGAGATCTAACGGGACTGCCCCGAGTGAGCTCACTTCAGACCAGTACTTTATGCATCTAAAGTTTGACTGTGACCTTTCCAGCATGCTGATAATAAACAATTATTAATTTTGACTTAGGGTGTCCAATGTGTAGGTGTTATTGTTATTGTAGGCATTTAGGAATCGTTGAAGATGCACATGGGGTGGTGTGGATGTAAATACCTAAGTCACCACTGCCTGTTGGATCTACAGGTAGAGGATAACATGTCTCAGAGGATAACATGTCTCATTAGTAACAAGGATACCATAATAACACGTCTCATTAGTAACGAGGATAACATGTCTCATTAGTAACAAGGATACCATAATAACACGTCTCATTAGTAACGAGGATAACATGTCTCATTAGTAACAAGGATACCATAATAACACGTCTCATTAGTAACGAGGATAACATGTCTCATCAGTGGAGTTTGATGGTATAACGTTATTATGTATGCGGAGATATGAAAGGAGAAAGTACTATTCCCGAATATGCTGTTACTAGAGATAAAGTAACATATGAAGATGATAATGGGTTACTAGAGCTAAAGTAACAAATGACGAGTATAATGGGTTACTAGAGCTAAAGTAACAAATGATGAGTATAATGGGTTACTAGAGATTTGATGAAGTAACAATAGAAGAAAAAGAAAAAAAGACAACAAAAAAAGACAAAAACACACATATATATATATATATATATATATATATATAAATAAAACTTGCACACCCAATACGTAGACGTACGTAAGTGGTGTAAAAAGTATTACGAGAAATGAATAGTATAATGGGTTACTAGATTTGATAAAGTAACAATGTATAATGGGTTACTAGAGTTTAACTTGCTAGGTAGTGACTTAGCCTGGATAGAGCATGCCATCTATAGGGGACTGATAGACAGTGCCAGGACAGTTATTGTGAAA